CCTTCCTGTAGCGGATCTCGAAGTCATACTGCTGTAGCTCCAGTGCCCATCTGGCAATCCTTCCTGTTGGGCTCTCAATGGAATTGATCCACTTCAGCGCCATATGGTCAGTGACCACTACGAATTTGTAGCCTTCCAGGTATGGCCTGAGCTTTCGTATGCCCCAGATTATAGCCAGACACTCTTTCTCAGTAGCTGAATAGTTCTTTTCAGCACTGTTCAGTGTCCGGCTGGCATACGAGATGACGCGCTCTCCATCCTCCGAGGTCTGCGTCAGGATTGCCCCAAGCCCATAATTGCTTGCGTCCGTTTGCAAGCAAAACGGCTTCGAGAAATCTGGGCACGCCAGCACCGGTGACTCCGTCAGTTTGGCCTTCACTGTCTCGAACGCTCTCTGCCGCTCCTCAGTCCACTCCCACTTCGTGCCCTCTTTGAGCAGTGCATTTAGCGGATGCACTGTGGCTGCGAAATCTGGCACAAAGCGGCGATACCATGAAGCCACGCCCACATATTGGTGTAACTCTTTTACGTTTGTGGGCGGCTTTAGCTCGGCGATAGCGGCCACTTTCTCTGGATCCGTGCAAATGCCTTCCTCCGTGACCCTGTGACCCAGATACTTTAGCTCTTTCTTGAAGAAATCGCACTTGTCGATGTTGATCCTCAAGTTGGCTGCCCGCAGTCGCCAGATCACCTCTCGTAGGTTGTTCATATGCTCCTGTCGCGTCCGGCCGATGACGATGATGTCGTCCAGGTAGGCAAAGGCATGGGGCATCATTTCTGGGCCGATCACTTGGTCCAGAGCTCGCTGAAACGTTGCCGGCGCAGAATGGAGTCCAAATGGCATCACTTCCCAATGAAAAAGCCCCTTTCTTGGCACCGTGAATGCCGTCAGTGGTCTGCTGGCCTTCTCCATAGGTATCTGCCAATACCCATCCTTCAAATCCAGGCTGCTGATGTAGCGCGCCTCTCGCAGCTGGTCCAAAATGTGATGCACACGCGGCAAAGGGTATGCATCTTTAATGGATCTGCTGTTCAGCTGTCGAAAATCCACACATAGCCGCCACTTCCCATTCTTCTTGCGCACCATGACAATCGGCGCGCTATGTGGGCTCTTCGAGGGGCTCGATGCAGCAGCTCATCCACCTGCAGGTTGATCTCCGCCTGCATTTTTGGATTTTTAGGGAAGTAACGCTGCTTTATGGGCCTGTCGTCCTGCATCCTGATCCGGTGCTCCGTGATCCTGGTGGTGTCATTCACATGTTGGAACTTCTCCAGCTCATGCCTCAGAAAAGCGTCCACCTCTGGGTCTCTGTGCATAGGCGTTGGCTGCTCCATGTTCGCCTCCACTGGCGTCTCTGGGTTCGCCTCCACGCTGGCCACAGCCACGGATAGCTTCTCCTCCGGCTGTCCGCTCGACTGTGAAATTCTTGGCTTGATCCTCAGTGTCAAGCCACCGCACTCCAGTGTGGTGCCCATGCTGGCCAAGAAATCCCAGCCCAGCACTAGATCGTCGATCACTCCCGGCAGAATCAGCAACGGGATTTGGATCTGCTGATTCCCCAGGCTGATTGTCGTCTCCAGTTGCGAGTCCACCTGACTGCAACTGCCGTCCGTTAAGCGTATGCGCCGCCGTGTAGCACGCACCACGCCCACTCCTCTGAGCTTCTCAGCAAGCTTTTCGCTGATAAAGCTGCTTGTGGCTCCCGTGTCGATCGTAGCTCTTTGTTGAGTGGCTCCAATGGCCACGATCGCCGACATCTGGCTGCCTTCATCCTGGAGACGGCCCACTAGTGCCTGGGGGCTCCTGACTGCTGCTCCCGCTCGCCCCTGGATGACGGGTGCCGCTGATCGTTTCCCGACTGGCAACAGGCAAACGTTCTCACTCCAATGCGCCCGCACTGCCAGCAGAAATCCAGTGCCTTGTTGCGGCACGTAAAAGCGCGGTGCCCCTCCTGACCACACACTCGACATGCCCTGGCTGGATTCGGGATGTGTGTTCGTGCTCCGGCTGTGCCTGTCCTTGGCGCAGGCGAAGGCTTTGCCTCATCCTCCATGCGGCGAAACTCCATATCGCCTCCAGCGTCGTCTATAGCCATCAGTCATGACCGGCCAGGCCGTGGCTGCTGCCGCAACCTTTCGCGATCCCTCTCCAGTTCCTCGAACTCATCTGCCAGGTGCATCAATTCCACTAGATTGTGGAATTGATACGGCCTGGCGTAAGCGCGCAGATCGGGCAGGCTGTTGTTGTATATTAGCTTCATTTCGCGGTCTGCTCCATAGCGCAGAGGCCGCATGAGAGTCTGCATCTCCACCATGTAGACCTTGAAGTTCTCACCCACCATTTGTCTCCGGCGTTTGACGTCATCCTCCAGCTTCTCCAGATAGCCTCTGGGCAGGAAAAACTCCTGGAAGCTGCGCACGAATGTCGCCCACGCCGTCCAGTGCCGGTTGTTGGCCACATACCATTTTAAGGCCATGCCTTTCAGCAGCTCTGGCATCGCTCTCGGGATCATATCCAGATCCAGGCCATATGTGTCAGCTGACCACTCCACCTGCTCCAAGAACTCCAGAGGCTTCGTGGTACCATCAAAGCGAAAGCTCCACTCTCGCACTTGTTTGGCCAGCTTTGGATATTCTTGGGCTGTGCTGCCGAGTCCTCGTGGCCTTATTTCAGGTTTCGGGGTGGATGTGGCTCTCATCTCACCCTGTCGCGTGTCCTGCAGTCGTGCTGCTGCGCTTGTGGAGGGCACACAGTGCCGCGCCACATGCGCAAGCTCTGATTCCAGGTCGTCCTCCGTGACGGCGGTCGTTGCCTCATCCCTGAGTGAGGCACGGCGTCCATGCAGTCGCTCCAGCTCGGCGATCCTCAGTGAGTAAGGAATGCTTCCTTCATTCCTCGCAACCCACTCGCCAAACTGCCTCCGCATAACGTCTAGTGTGCCTGACAAGCTCACTCCGAATTCGTCACCATAACGCAGCACTTCATCCTTTTTCAGATTATATACCCACGCTCGCACCATAATCACAATTTCTAATTAAACTCTTATCGCAGGGCCCCACGTTGGGCGCCAATTGTAACGAACCTTCGGATTATCCCGAGTCTAAGCTGGGCTAGTTTCAGCTGACTGTGGACTCGTGCCAACAAATTTATTTGTTGAAGCCCCTGCGATAATAATTAGTCACTTGTGATTTAGGTTTTATAGCGTAAATGTATATTTTTCTGAATAAGTTTGAAATTTACACGTCATTTAAATTTACACTGGTTCGCTGGTTTGCTTTAGCGAAGCACACCTACTGAACGCTTGCTCAACGCACTCCGGCTGGGAGAGTGTTGTGCTAAACACGCTAGTTCAACGTAAGGATACGAGAAACGCCAGGATCTGGGTCTGTAAACTCTGGCGGTTCGCTCAGCTATACAGGCCTCTCCTACTATCTCACTCGCTCACAGCACAACACTAGCTTCGTTCACTCACAACCACTTCTCTTGCGCACGGCTACGTGAACTCACTCAGATGTGCAGGCCTCGCTTAAGCCGCTGATATGCACCGATGTCCTGATCGGTGCCTGCTGATGATCTGCAAGGATTCCCACTGGATGTCCTTGTGGTTCCCACGATGTCCTTGCTGTTCCCACGATGTCCTGGGAGTCCTGTTTGCTACTCGCGTTGACTTGATTTCGACACTTTCTTCACTTTCACTTTGTATAAATTTCGACGGCAACACTCTCTCGTATCGTTTTTCGACCCACCCGTATGGAGCCGCTGGTGGCCTTTTATACCCCAGCCACAGGCCCTGCCTCGTGTGGTAACGGGGCCTGTTCGGCTCTGGAGCGGGGCCTCTCTGCCGTTATTGTCCATAAAAACGGTAAAGTGGCGTGATTTTGGGTGACGCCACTTTCCCGCCAAATCCGTGGCAGCCTCCCATTGGCCGAAGTACCGTTGGCGCCCTACGAGTGAAAGTGTCCACTACTATCACTCGGCCCAAACGGCACCTCGGCTAACGGTCCCCGATGATCGTCGTGCGTGCGACGCGAACCCATTGCTGAATCTGTAGGAGCGAAAGAGCCCGCCTCTAACAGGACTTTGACCCCCTTTCCAGTGCGAGGGTCGCTCCTACAGTATTCGCGTCGCTGTGTGGAGCAACATGTATATGCACGTATATGCATATAAACGCACAGCAAATACATACGTTTATATACATTAATACGTGCATACCTATATTGCTCCTCACACTCCCCTCTTCCTTCGGGAAAACACGAGACCATCGTGTTTGAATTTGGCGCCCGCCTCCGCTGCGCTGCTCCGTTTTGCGTCGCTCCATCCCTCGATGCTCCATTTTGCGCTGATCGCTGCTGTTAACGCTCTGTTAATGTTAACAGCTGTATTTTCCCCTTACCGCTGGCAGTTTCACACGCGCCGCTTTAAAGGCTGGACAGTAGTGCTGGAGATACATCGATGTTTGATGACATCGATGTTTCGATGTTTTTCAATCCAAAACATCGATGTATCGATGAAAAATCGGAATTTTTTTTTATTATAAATGAATTCAATGTTTACATTCTTAATAAAATTAAATTATATATTTTCGTTTGTAATCCATTTCAAAACTTAAAAATAAAAAAGAAACAATAAAAAAAGTAAATAAAAAATAAAAAATATATCACTCCATCAGTCTTTTTTTTTAAATTATCGTATTTTAAGATCTGCAATTACATTGTTATTAATATCATTATTTAAAATTAATCTAAGTATGGGAAACTTACCATCTCATATTCTAATGGGTCTCATTTAAGACCCAATCGTTTTTGTTGATGAACACCAGTATGTCAACATTTTTTGACTTCAGCGAGCTTCTTTTTTCGCTTACAAGTAGTCCAGCTTTGCTGAACATCCTCTCACTCTCCATAGAGGTTGCTGGCACGCATAAATATTTCTTAGCGCATTTTACGACTGGCTTGTCATTTGAGATCTGCAAATAAAATATCAATATAATTTTAAATCATCTTATATCTGAGAAACATTACCTTCCAATAGTCTAATGGACTGGATGATGATGATAAATTTTCGGACATAAAATATTGACGAAGTGCCAAAATAGAGTCCACTCGTCCACTCCGTACTTTTTTTGAAATATTTTCTTCCAAGAACTCAAAAAGCTCTGGTTCTGTAGAGCTGCAGTTCGGTGCTGGCAAGCATTGTATGTCGTTAGTGGGAGACGCGGGCAAAACGCAGTAGAGGGTAGCAAGCTCATTTTCTAAAATTTTTTGGGATTCGCTGGCATTCGCAATCGACAGAAAGCCCTCCTTTTTGAATCTGGGATCCAGAAGAGTTGCTATTCGCGTGACTGTGCGTTTTTCGTATTGCGTAAGTCTTTGTCGAATTCCTTCCATTAATGAATTGTATGCCTCACGACCATCATCAGAGACCAGTCGGACATTAATTTTTTCTAAATTATGTATAAGTCCGTATACAATTGGAATAATTATTGATGTTGTCACTGAACTACTCGATGATGCCCTTTTTGTCGCGTGGTCAAAAGGAGCGAGTAGAAGCTTTAAGTCCTCCAACACAAGAATCTCGTCCGCAGATAGTGGCAACACTGCTTTTGGGGTGTTCAGCAGTACCTTTGCGATGGCGGCATGAGTACTTAAAATGCGCTCTACCATATAAAAAGCACTATTCCACCTTGTGGGACACTCCTGTTTTAAATTATAGGGCTTCTCTATTTTTTGCTCGTCTCTAAATTTGGCATACGCTATAGAGCTGTTCTTGAAAAACGACACAATACTCTTGCATTTCCCTATTACGTTTTTAATTTTTTCTTTGGATAAACAGCCTTGGACAACCAAGTTTATGCAGTGCGCAAAGCATGGCACGTGCCGTTTTTGTAACAGTTCGCAAGCTTTGATCATACTTCTGGCGTTATCCGTCACTACTGCAGTCACTTTTTCAATTACTTGCCATTCTATCAGGACTTCACGCAGGGTTAGGGATATGTTATCGGCTGAATGATTAGTCTCGTCTAAGAGTTTTTTGGTGGACAAAACTGCTGTGCGTAACATAAAGTTTTCTGTAATAAAATGGCACGTGACTGTAAGATAACTTTCGTTAGCACGTGAGGTCCAGCAATCAGTTGTTATAGCGCAGTGTTCCACGCGATCAAGGACAGACTTGAGATTTTCTCATTTTTTTTATAGAGATCTGTCATGCAAGAATCCCGCAACTTCGATCTAGATGGCAACTCATATCTTGGATCAAGAGCTTTGACAAGGTGTCGGAATCCTTTGTTCTCGACAACCGAAAATGGTCGCATATCTGAACTTATGTAGTACATCAGCGCACTGTCGAGAGCTTTCTTCCTATTTGAAGACGGTTCATATTTTTTATCTATAAACGATAAAATAGACCCTGTCTCCTTAGGAAGCTCGCTTATAGTTAGCGTCGGATGCATTCGCTTTAAGTGGCCAGATAAATTACTGGTATTGCCACTTGTAAGATATACTTTTCCACATTTTAGGCATTTTGCTGAACCATTACACGATTTGGTAAAAAATTTCCACACCTCCGACTGTCCATACCTTGTCCTTTTTACTTGTGTTTCTCCTTCGTCAATGTCTGTTGATTTGCGATCTACACAAAAATAACACATACATATACATATGCAGAAATATAAATATAATTGAATGCTAATAATACCTTTGCCACTAGCGTCTCTCAAAAACTTATCCATTGCCTACCAGCACCAATATCCTACAAAAATAATAAATAAAAAATAAAAGAAAGAAATAAATAAATGCAAATTTGTTCTTACCAAGCTCACAACACAATTTTTGCTTAATGTAAAGAAACCAGTAAATTTAGTGGTGGGAACATTTATACACAACATCGATCATCGAAAAACAAACATCGATGTTTCTCATTTTATTTCAAACATCGATGTATCGATATTACATCGATGTTGCGCCCAGCACTACTGGACAGCCTTTAAAGCAGCTAACGTGTGAACCACTACAATTTGCGCATGTTGCCGCCTCGTCTCTTTTGGGCAATCGGTAGAAGCATGCTCGCCGGCACACTTCATACACCTAAATGGCCGCCTACAGTAGTTTTTCGAATTGCCAAACGCCTGACATCGATGGTACTGGGCCGGATCGATGGGCTTGGCCATACGCTCCACACTGACTGCTTGCATAGCGATCTGCTTGAGATTGAGCACCGCCTCATGGCTGCCATCAGGCTGTGGCTGGAGCTCAATCTCAAACAGATTGAGTGGCTTTGATGTGAATCGGTGCCTCATGACGCGCACGAAACGCGTCAACCACCACGTGCCAAAGATGCTGAGATTACTACTCACAAAATAGTTGCTCACCCGAGCAATACGTTAAGTGTCGCGAGCGTGATCGGACGCACACCGCTGAGCGCGAGGCCGGCGGACGATAAGTAGTCTAGCTTGTAAATTAAAAATTACTCTAAGCTAAGACTACGGTGAAAAATAAAAACATTTTAAAACAAAAATTAAATAAATTGTTTTTATTTAAAAGTGGACTATAATAAAAGTGATTAAAACTTGCAAATAAAATTTTTTCACTTGTGAAAATTCGGCCACCTTGTGAACAGCCATTAACATATTAAACAAAAATTTAATTATCTTGAAAACCCTTATTCAAAATGAACTAAAACAAAAACTAAATTAAAAGCAACTACAGCAGCAACTATTGTGATAAATAAAAAACAAAATTCAAATAAAATTAAATAAAATGTTGACAAGTTAAAAAGTGGCCATTTCTATATGTACGTACATACATACATACGCACATATATAAAACTTGAAGTAACTACTGTGATTTTATTTAAAATAAAACAAAATAAAATCTAACGCAACTACAACAACATTTGTGATAATCTTGACAAATTTAAAATAAAATCCAAATAAAATTAACAATTAATTTCGACAAACTAAAAGTGGCCATTACATATGTGCGTACACACACATATCCACAAATCTAACCAAATCTAACGAGTTTTATACTGTGTATATATATGTATATATTTTTTTTCCTTTTGTATTCACTATTTTATTATTATTATTATTTTTTTTTTAATTTTTTTTTTTTATTTTATCGTATTACTCTCATTAATATCATTAATATTATCGTTTTTCCCAAGTTTATCCTTTATTTATTAGCTTTTATTTTCTCTCCCCCTTGTTTTTTTTTTTTATATTGAATTCATTTTGTTCGCCCTACAGTCGTCGTCGTCGTCGTCCCACTGTGCTCTCCAGTTTTATGGCCTCTGGACCGCTAATCTGCTCTGTTACACAGAGCTGTGGGGTATATCCGCCGATTAGTTCGCACTTTTATTTCATTATAAATTGTTATATATGTACATACATATATACGTATATATACACATATATATATGCGCATATCTACATATATGCATATATACACACAAATATATAAGGTTTAATTATTTCTTTGACTCGGCGATTTCTAATGCCCTCCACTTTCTTGCTTCCGTTTTCGCACAACGTATGCTGCGCGAGTTACCAACCCAACAACACACACAAACACATATTCAATAATTCTTTGTACACACATAAGCACACACAAAAACACTCAAACACACACAAACACATATTCAATAATTCTTTGTACACACATAAGCACACACAAAAACACTCAAACACACACACAATTATAAAATACCTACACATAAGCATTGTACTCTTTGTAAGAAGATACGAAACAAAGAAACCAAAAAACTTAGAAATAAAGACTCACTTCTGTTTTGGCATTTGAATGAAGAGGACGTTTTATTAATATCTTGACACCTACATATATACACCATCTAGCTCCCGATGGTAATTGGCGCAGCCGGTTAAGGAATGGATCTACTTATAATCATGCTAAGTATCATTATTTTTGTGAAGTTCACTAAAGTGGAGTAACTGTGTATAAGATGCATTGCTAAATGGAACGGAATCAATCGCTGATAATCGTTACCACAAAAAAAAAAAAAAAAAAAAAAAAAAAATATATATATATATATATATATATATATATATATATATATATATATTGCAGTCTATGTATAAACATGTACACATGTACCTAATTTTAAATAACAAATGTGTTGCGATTGGGCAGAATCAATCGTTGATAATTGCTGTTATCGCAACATTATTCATTAAAAATATATACATATGTGGATATGTATGCATATGAACATCTTGTGGTGTGATATATGAAATCAAACGCTGATCATCGTACTTCATACACAACAAACATTCATTCACAAACTCATGATGTGGTGGGGTGGAATCAATCACTGATAATCACTACTGCCACAGCATGATTAAACAACATAGTAATGTATTTGTGAATTTGTACATGCAGTACATATATGCAGACATACGTAACTAGAAAATCGTCTATTATTTCACAACTACATGAAATTTTAAGACACGCTATGAAAAATAAATAAAAAGCAGCAACGCCACAATTCTGCGTTTCGCCGCCGACCTAACGGAATCTTGAATTTCGGTCGTCACTCTCAACATTAAAGAGGCTCTGATGTCCGGCGCCACTAGACACGCGACAGAATTACAACGCTCAAAACTCAAGAAATTTCGGCCGACAATAACAAATCTATGCTGTTGAAGGTTTTTCTTAAATGAAACACGGTATATGTAGGCGCAACACAAAAAGTTTATTTAACACAATATTCAGTAACAAGTACACTTCTTCACGTACCGCGACGATTTGAACTTAGCTAACCGAGCCGACACACTGACATTGATCTTACACAATGAACTTACTGAATGATCTTTGGCTCGACTTACAGCGCGCTTATATACCTACTTCTACTGCATATCGAATGTTCTGGATGTCTCCTTATGCTTCTATGTTTGCGTCTATTTCATAATCCAGAACATTCGGTTTCTTATTCTAGAGACAAATGTGCGATCAGCCGACGACTGTGTTTACCGTTAGCTCAAATGCTCACTTGATGATGAGTTTTTCGAGATCAATCCTCAACACCCTCCCTAAAACTCAACATCTCTATAACAAATTTGTCCCTTATTCTTCATTCCCAATTTCTCTCTTAGATACAAAAATCTGGGCTTTGGCAAAGCTTTAGTAAAAATGTCAGCGATCTGCTCTTCACTCTTTACATACCTTACATCTATCTCATCTTTCTCAAATAAATCGCGTACAAAATGATATTTAACATCTATATGTTTGCTTCGTTGATGAAATTCAGGATTTTTGATTAGCTTAATCGCACTTATATTATCTATAAACAAGATGTAGTTACTTAAATTAATGTTACAATCAAAAAACAATTTCTTTAGCCATATCATTTCCTTACTTGCTAGAGCTGCACTTACATATTCGGCTTCTGTTGTTGATAAAGCTACACATTGTTGTTTTTTTACTTTGCCACGTTATTGCAGCATTCGCATATTTACACAAAATTCCAGATGTAGATTTCCGAGTTTTCTTATCACCTGCATAATCAGCATCACTATATTATATTATACTATATCAAAAATATTATTATTTTTACTGTATAAAATTCCCAAATCCATCGTTCCTTTCAAATAACGAAATATTCTCTTAACTAACGTCCAGTGATGCTGCTTCGGGTTTTCTAGCTCTCGGGAAACTACATTAACAGAAAAACTTATATCTGGCCTTGAAACAACTTGTAAAAACATTAAATTTCCTACTGCTTCGCGGTAAGGTGCATTACAATTATTTTGTTCAGATACATTTTCATCATAATTACATTCAACTGGCGTGGAGACAATGTTCGCATTTATCATATTAAATTTTTCTAAAATTTTCTTTATATAATTTTCTTGATATATGAAGATAGAACCATTTGGCTGCTTCAGTATTTCTATTCCTAAGAAGCATGTTACATTTTTTGTACTTGTTATTTTAAATTCCTTGCTCAAATTCTCAAATAGATTATCAATTAAAAATTCATTGGATGCAGCAATTAACCCGTCATCTACATAAATCGTTAACAAAATTCTGTCATTATTTTTAGAGTATATATAAAAACATGGATCTGCAATACTTTGTGTAAATCCCAAATTTTTAATAACATTTGCAAAATGCTCTGTCCAGCACCTCGGAGCTTGTTTTAACCCATACAAACTCTTCAACAATTTGCAAACAGAAGAGGTACCATCTTCGAAACCCTCTGGCTGATGCATATAAATATTTTCCTTAAGAGTACCATATAAAAAGGCTGTTTTTACATCAAACTGACCAAGAAATAGATTTTCTTGAGCAGCTACACTTAACAGGAATCTCACGGTATCAAATCTAACTACAGGGCTAAAAGTCTCTTTATAATCGATCCCTTCCTTTTGTGAATAACCCTTAATAACTAAACGCGCTTTATACCTTTCCGAGCCGTCTGGATTGAGCTTCTTTGTATAAACCCATCTACTATTGATAACCTTTTTATTTTCAGGTTTTGGAACAAGAACCCAAGTTCTATTTTCATGTAAAGAATTAATTTCTTCTTGCATCGCAGTTTGCCAGTACTCTTTATCATCAGACTTTAACGCTTCATTATAATTTAAAGGCAAGCTTTGTGTAATAAATGTAACAGGGCAACCATAAAAATCTGGCATACGAATCTGTGATCTATCTCGCAATCGCCGACCCATTTCACTATTATTATGTTCAGTTGATTCATCTTCAATTTTATTATTTTCGTATTCACTTTCATTAGTCTCACTTTCAGAATTGTCAACTAAAATTTCAGGCCTTTTAAACTGAGCTGTAAAGTTTTCTGGCTTAAAACATACATCTCTACTTATAATTACATCTCTCATATTTGGAACATATACACGATATCCTTTGCAATTTTCAACGTATCCTACTATAAATCCTTTAATAGACTTTTTATCTAATTTTCTCCTTTTTTCTTTTGGTACATGTACAAAACATTCAGTCCCGAAAATTTTAAGATTTCCGATATCTGGCTCTTTCTTGAACCACAACTCATATGGAGTTTTATTCCCATGTTTTGTTGGACCTGTGCGGTTAATTACATAAACTGCAGTGTTTACTGCTTCTGCCCATAGAAATAATGGTAACTCAGAATTAGAATGCAACATTGATCGTGCAGCTTCAATAATAGTTCTATTCTCACGTTCCGCAACTCCATTCTGTTCAGGTGTATAAGGAGCATTAACAATATGTTTTATTCCCTTCTTATTAAAGAACGATTTAACTTCTTTATTAATATATTCTCTACCCCCCATCGCTGTGAATTTCTTTAATGTTTTCATGAAATTGATTCTGAATTGCCTGAATAAAAATTTGGAGTTTTTCAAATACTTCAGACTTATGACGTATAAAATAAACTTCCCGATAACTTGAATAATCATCTTTAAAGCTAACAAAATACAACTTTTTACCAATAGACTCTACCTCTATCGGACCGCAAACATCAGTATGAATTATCTCTCGTGTCTTTGTTGCACGGTCAATATTTTTGTGAAATGTTAGCCGATGCTGCTTCCCATAAGCACATCCTTCACAAAAGAAATCATTTTCTAGAAAATCAATATTCTTATTTTTCAAATAATCGCGAACATGTCGAACGTTTTGATGACAAAACCTCTCGTGCCATACTTGTAAAGAATCACTTTCTTTCGATTCTATTTTTCTTGTTAAATTACACAATTTTGGCATCAAAACATTCGCATCTAATTTTAATAAGTTTCCGAACCTAGAACCCGTTGCAATTATTTTATTATCACGTCTCAACAAACACTGTGTTCCTTTATTTTTAATAAGACAATCAACACCCCTTTTTGCAGCTGACATAATAGAAAATAAATTGTAAACTATTTCCGGAACATACAAAACATTAAACATTGTCGTCGCCCTTTTATCATTATTGACATAAGTTTCAATATCAATATTACCTTTTCCGTGCGCCGTGATATATTTACCGTTACCTACGCCTATCCTCAGGGGCTCCAAAAATTCTTCATAAGTAGAATACCAATCTCGACGCCTTGACATGTGATCAGAAGCTCCTGAGTCGATCACCCACACGTCATCTTCTCTGCCGTCCCTGCTCGCAATCAATCCTTTCCTCGATGATTCACCCGATTCTCCTTGATTATTTTCCGCTTGACTTCCTGCATTTCTCCTTTGGTGACATGTGTTGCTCTTGTGGCCTTTCTTCTTGCATATATAACACCTGTAGCAGTCCTTCTTCAGATGTCCCATCACGCCGCAGTTATAGCACTTCATAATTTTCTTCTTATTTTCATGTTCTCTTTTATTTTTTCCGTTGCCGGCGACTAACGCTGTTGACTCTTCAGGTACCACTTCTTGTTCTTTTGACCGCATTTCTTCTGTCATTAAACGAGTCGTCAAATTGTTCAATGTTCTTTTGCTGTCTTCGACCGAATCCCACGCACTATGAAAATAGTTAAACTTTTGAGGCAAAGATGACAGGATTCGCGACATTAACATTGTTTCAGGCACAGCACTTCCAAGATTTTTCATCTTGCTCCACAAAACTTCCAACTTTGAAATATTGTAGTCCACACTCTCACTTTCAATCCATTTGAAATCAAAAAACTGTTTCTGAATAGCCGATAAATTTTCTTCTGATTTCATATCATACACTGAGTTCAATTTTATCCACATTTCTCTTGCTGTTTTGCAGCTCACAATCAATTCCATCGGTCTTCTCTCGATAGAATGAATAATTATTTTCCTTGCAGTCTTATCAGCTTTCAAGAACCTTTTCGAGTCTCTCTCGTATGTTGCAGACTCCTGTGTCGGACACGTCAAACTACCTTCACAAACGGCAAGAACATCGTCGTCTTCTTCCAATAGCGTACGAATCATAAAACACCACAAATGCCAATTGTCTTTGTCGCGTAATCGTTCAATTCTCATATTTAATGGCTCCATTTTCATTGTCTTTATTTAGTTACAAATTTGCCACTAATTCACTTTTGTACTTGCACTCGATTTCACACTACATTACACGTTTAGCACTGTCTGGGCCCATAACCTGTTGAAGGTTTTTCTTAAATGAAACACGGTATATGTAGGCGCAACACAAAAAGTTTATTTAACACAATATTCAGTAACAAGTACACTTCTTCACGTACCGCGACGATTTGAACTTAGCTAACCGAGCCGACACACTGACATTGATCTTACACAATGAACTTACTGAATGATCTTTGGCTCGACTTACAGCGCGCTTATATACCTACTTCTACTGCATATCGAATGTTCTGGATGTCTCCTTATGCTTCTATGTTTGCGTCTATTTCATAATCCAGAACATTCGGTTTCTTATTCTAGAGACAAATGTGCGATCAGCCGACGACTGTGTTTACCGTTAGCTCAAATGCTCACTTGATGATGAGTTTTTCGAGATCAATCCTCAACATTAATAACTACAAAAAACAAAATCCATAACAACAAAATTCCATTTCATTTTCCTTAATCGCTACAAAATCAAACTATGCCTCCAATCCTATTCAAATCCTATTCACCATAACAAAAATCTATTTCATTCAATATCTTTACTTATTACCTACAAACATTTAAGGTGGGCAAAAAAAAGGCCAACATTGCACAGTTGAAGCCATTTCATCAAGGAGATGAGGAAATTGACATGATCCCGGTAACCGAGACCGGGGAAACGAAGAACGAGGAGCGAACTCCGCTGTCCCCGACAATAACGACGAAAGGCCTTGATAGGTCTATACGTCTCGCAAACCACTAACTTCCCCGTAGAGACCCCTATTAATGCTAACACTAACGCAGTAGTTAGAGGGCCGTTTCGGTCATTAACACGAATAAAAAACAGAAGACTAAAAATAAACTCCGAACTTACAGGGAGGTCAATAGATGGAGGAAGTCATCGAGATTAGCAGCGATGATGAGGGCTCGGTCCAAGTCGAGGACACCAGCAGCGACAGCACCGAGTCGTTCTCCCGGGAAGAGGCGCAGAGGCGACAAAGGGACCCGAGGCTCGGTAGAGAATATTACCGCCGCCAAGAGGAGCGGGCGCCACCCCGGCGCGTGCACACGGCCCTCCGCTCGACGATGAACGTGGCAAGCCGGATGGACGGCCTAATACAGTTTATACAGGCCAGGTACACAACAGTGTACATCCAGGTGCCCAGGGGAGGAACAACGCCACCACTCGTGGAGGAGCCGCCGTCTCCTCCCCGCCCACCGGGCAGCCCGGAGTCGTATGTACAGAGATGTGCGGACGACACAGCCTCGTCGGGATGGGCGACTCTGACACCATGGACGGCGAGTGAGGAGGAAGAAATCCCGGCCGGAGAGATCGACGATGGATCCCCGTCGCGGGGGCGGGACGGCGGCAGGGAGCGTAGTCCCTCCGTCAATAACCCCGCCCCGGAGACCGCGGCGCGAGATGGATTGGAAGAGGAACACTTGGACGTGTCGGGGAGGCGCGATGGAACAGTTCGGGTCGAAGACGCGAGCTCCGAGGAGGATGGCACCACAAACCCCATTCCCCGACGCCGAGCTAGCGTCGACGCCGAGGAGGAGCGACAGCCGGAATCCGTCAGGATTACGCTACGATATACGCCGGGCACGGTCGAAAACCGACGTCTATCGCGTGCGTCTCAGTCCAGCACAGAGCGCCCGACGGGTCGCGGACAAGCAGCCGAGCGTAGGCGTCGCCGGCGACGACGACGAGGACGACCGGTGTCCGAACGCGAATCGGATTCCCGCACCCCCGCCAGTCAAGGGAAAACGACAGACGGTGCCGAAGGTCCGTCCACGCATCGGCAGCGCCGGGAGAGGAGTACGTCCACGAGCGGCCGAGGGCGCAGCGAGCGCCGAGATGAGTCGACGGAGACTCGTTCGAGCGAGGAAAGGCGCCTGTTGGCAGACATGGCCGAGTTGCTAGACGGGAGGGAGGTAAATCTCGAGGAGGTACTCGGCGAGGAGGACGCGGAGTCGAGGAGAATGTTGCCGTCAATCCCTATCGGCTGGAGAGTACACCCTGCCGGTACCGAGCTGAGTGCGGAGGTGATCCAGCTGCTGAGGCGGGAGACGCGAGGACGGCGGCACAGGAGGACCCGCTTCCGGGTCGCGGCGGGGGAACAGGCCTATACGGTGACTGTTAATTCATCGGGGGCGTGGTAATTTCCCCTGTCGGAGTAAGGGGGGGTGTAAGGTGGCATTTTCTTTCCCACCTAACATGTTTGTAGGTAATAAGCAAAGATATTGAAATGAAATAGATTTTTTTGTTATGGTGAATAAGATTTGAGTAGGATTTGAGGCATAGTTTGATTTTTGTAGCGATTAAGGGAAATGAAATGGAATTTTGTTATGGATTTTGATTTTTTGTAGTTATTAAGGTTATATTTTGAAATCATTGTTTGTTAATGCCAGATCCCATTAACAGGATTGCTCCTCCCCCACAGAGCCCGATTATGCTATTAACAGCTTTCTGTTAATAGCATAACCGCTTGCTCTCAGTACTTGGCCCTCCGCCAAGTACTACTCCTTCTACTATTACTACTCTTTTTACACTGATTCCTTGTGCAACTACTTGAATATCCAACATCGCCATTTTGCGCGTGCCGAATAAAATAGTTTTTAAAATCACCACCACGTGTCCTTATTTGAAGACTCCACACTACAACATTTGGTCCTTCGAGCCGGATATCATCAACACATCCACCAGCGATTCTTGGGAGTTCTGAGATAAGTAATTGATTGCTTTTCGTTTCACTGCAACTTGCATAGGTCAGTGCATACCGGCATTTGTTATACGACATTTCCGCCATATATATTTGTATATATACATATTTGTACTTTGTGCAAGTTGCATCCCACTAATATATATATTCTTATATATTAGACACAAATCTGAATATATATATTCTTATATATTCAGGTACGTGAAGTCCATAGCCATACATACATACATATATGTATGTATGCACTAACCTTCAAGTCCGTTGCATATTCACATATTCCGAATCTTTCCGTTTTGCTAAGACATAATACACAATATCCTTTGTGTCTTGTCGCAGCTCAACCATAACATTCAATCCAATCATATAGTCCGATTGCACATATTTAATTGCGATTTCACTGCAATATATGTACGTACATACAAGGCTCCCATTGCATATACATACACATATATATATGCACACCTGTTTGTACATTCCGCACCATATATACATATATTAAAATAAATAAAGATAAAACAGAAAAAAACATATCCTTGTCGTTTTATTATAATTTATTTTAAATCTTTATATTTATACACATATATTTATATTTGCATGTTAACTCTTATACGTGTGTGTGTGCTAATTGTGTCTCCGCTTTGCTCTGCCATCCACATATAAAAACAAGTAAGAACGTTGCAGTCGGGCGTTACCGACTGCAGAATACTCATTCACATCCCATCAACAATTTAGTAGTTAAGTTTCGCTCTAATACTGTAGAATATACAGGTTTTTCCGATTTGCCACGCCCCAACTGGGCGTAGACACCTAATTTTTGGTCAGTTTTTCGAAAGAGATAACGGTACCCTAACTGCAAAGTTTGAATGCTTACTCTCAAAAAAGTGAAAATTACAGGGTATTTTTCGATATGGCACGCCCCTAAAGAGGCGTAAAAATTATTTTTGGGGAATCGATAGAGGAGGCTACCAGTAACTCAACTATCCAATTTGAAGCTTCTTGCTATTATACTTTAGGAGATATAAACTTTTGCGGTTTGCCACGCCCCCTGTGAGCGGACATATATCCGACAAAACTTTTTGGTCTTGGGTGATCAGTCCGAGCATATATACAAAATTTGAGGTCTCTGCCATCAATAGTGTCCAAATATAGGAGAATTTATAGAATCACTATATCTTCAGGTCCGCTTTTAAACGCCCTCAATGGGCGTAGACTTATAATTTATCTTTAGACTTTATAGAATCATAACATTAGCTGACGTGCAAAATTTCAGCATTCTAGGTTTACAACTTCAGGAGATACAGCTCTATCCGATTTGCCACGCCCCCAATGGGCGTAGATATATCCGCCATAGCTCGTAATCTTGGGTGGTCAACGCAGAACTACATACCAAATTTCAGCTTTCTAGATCTTCAACAAACATGATTTCTGGTATATCGGAAAATGCATTTTCCGATTTGCCACGCCCCTAGTGGGCGGATCGGGAAAATTTTAACACTTTATAAATCGGAGACATACACGAGTATGTGTTCCAAATTTCAAGTCTCTAGCTTCAATAGCGCCGAAATAGATTGCGTTCATAAGGACAGACGGTCAGACGGACAGAATCTTTGATTTGTTTAACGTGACGTGTACCCCAATGGGGGCTTACAACCACGGTACTCGCATGTGCCACATATGTGACACATAGTACAGCGGGTGAAAATAATGCGTCCACCAACGCCCCTAAAAGATCTCTTTCAGCTACCAACTTTGCTGTCGGGCACAATTCCCTCTGGGGTCGAGGCGAGGCCTATCATAACCTTTACTGACTACGGGTACAGAAAATACCAGGGACCGCAAATAAGAGTTACGCATTTAAAAAAATTGAGGGTCAAAAGAACTCCCAAGAAGAGAGAGAAAAACACACATAAGGATTTCTGTTATGGCAAATTCAAAAAAAGCATAAACTTTTATTTGTAATTTTTTATTAAAAAATTATAATTAATTATTAAAATTGATTTTTATGATACAATTTTTATAATAAAAATCAAAAATAAGAGTTATGATTTGATATTTATTATAAAAATTGAAAATAAAAATTGAATTGAAATATCTCTTGAACTAAAGGAGATAGATCATATATTTTTATATATATACATATGATCTACGCATTAATACCTTTCATTTGATGTATAATACGTACGTAAATATGTACATGCATATGCGCATATACATATTTATTTAATTATCTGCTAGGCTCTTGCCCATTGCACTCGCCCTGTGCACTTACCCGTACCTATTCAGCAGGCAAAGTGAGGGGGAGACAGATGCAAATAAAGCATAATCACTGTATATATGTACATACATATGTTTATATGTATATATATGTATTATTGTCACCTTCCCCTGTACCCAAAGATATAACACTTAATATAAGTTTTCTATTTATTTAGTTTTAAAAACATTATTTTTTATAGAATCTGCACTTGGGTTGGATCTTAAGTCTGTTAGCACAAGCTTCAGAGCAGAAAAAGCAGTATTTCTTCACGCTTCTCCAAGCTTTTGGCTAGATCCTCACTATGGATGTTGCTAGCCATAGACTGTATCTGTATGCTTTCCAAGAAAAGCTTGTAGAAGTCCCCAATAAAAAGTTGTTCGCTTTGCCGGATGAACTCCTCATATATGCATACATTTCTTAGCATTTCAAAACTTGATCTCCATCTGGTGGGCACATCAATGACAGGCAGAGGTAGCGCTGTAGTTGAAATTGCTAGTCTAAATTCAGAATACAAGAGGAAAATTATTCATTGGTATAATTAAAATTCGTTAATTTGCATCTTTACCTGAACGTCGATGTGCGCAAAGCTTTTACAAGTTTTCGCGCACTTACAACAGTTGCATCCCTTGCATCATTGCTCAAAAAATCCTTTACGGCTAATTGCAAGGAGTGAACAGCACATCGAATTGATGAGATCGAAAAAACATTTATGCTGTCCATCAGCTGCTCAATTTCAATATCAGCACTGAGCACACTTTCGAGATCCTCGTTGAAATAATCAATTGCCTTTATGAAATTCCTACCATTGTCTGAAGTTATCGTATATAACTGCTGCTTTGAAACCGAAAATTCTGCCAAAATATTTTCCATTTCTGTGCTCAAATTGAGCCCTGTGTGTTGTCGGTGCAGCTCAACTATGCCCAATGTCTTCACTTCAATGGCATGATTTCTATAATACTGGACGTTTACACCCAGAATGCCTTTTGAATGTCGGGAAGCAATGTCAATTTTGAGCGATAGCATCATATTTTGAAGTCTATCTCTTAAGACGGACTTTTCGCGCTCATATTTTTCCGTGACATGGTGCATAACATTCCGTGATGTGATGGGGCTCATCTGCAACCCATTAAAAATTTGGTCTGTCAGCGCTTTGAAAGGTGCAGAATCAAAAAGAGAGAATGACACTTTTTCATCTGTCACCAATTGCACGCACGCTTTCTTGACCTCGTTTGACGACATAGAAATAGTAAATTTCGTTTTCTTCTCCTGAGGTTCACTTGTGTCTTGGTTCAACTTAGACATGTACTCATCGGCATGGCTCTCCTGAAGATGAATTGCCCTTGAAGGAACGCTTGCAAATTTTGCAATCCGTAACATCTTGCTCCACTTTAAAAAAAAAAAAAAACTTCGCGGACAATAGCATCACGTTTACGACCCATTGCAATCAATCACCAAATTATAAAAGAAACAATGCATACAAAAAGCTTGACGATGCTGCGTTAACCACTTCTTATCGCAAATCGAATTCTAAAACAAGTAAGAAGACTCTAGTGGAGACTGCTCGACTAGGAGATACCCTGAACCCTCTAATCTGATATTCTAAACACTCTGCACTTCTTTTCGGCACGTATTAGAACGCGCTCTGCTAACTGCGCAGTAAGCAGCGACTGCGCTTGGGCTGCGCTGCAGTGTGGGCAACATTATAAGAATTTATTTGTTGAATAATTTAATTTCTATACAAACAATCTTAATGAAACTTTCAGAACATAATCATATTATTTAAATGTATGTACATTCCAAAGCACAAGTCCCTAGTACTTGAAGTACGCCTTTTACATAGGTGAGGGTGAGGGGGTGGATATAGGGGTGGTGGGTAAATAACAACAAAAATCGAAATTATATAAAATACATATAAGTCTACATTTAAAATTTGCAAGCTCTAGCTCTAAAGATGTAGGAGATATAATTTTATAACTGGTTTTCGATAAGTTTTTTATCGATAAAAGATCGGGATGAGTTATCAATTTTTAATGATAAACTCGATATCCACGCTGTAATTACGGACATTTAAAAAAAAATTTAAAGTCTCTAGCTCTTATATCTTCGGAAATCGACGCGTTCAAACATACGGACAGACGGACAGACGGACGGACGGACAGACAGACAGACGGACAGGGCCAAATCAACTCAGCTCGTCACCCTGATCAAGAATATATATACTTTGTGGGGTCTGCCACGCCTCCTTCTGCCTGTTGCATACATTTCAACAAAACCATTATACCCTGATTTCCCATTGAAAATGGGTTCAGGGTATAAATAGATTTATAACGGGGAGGCCATTGCACAGTGGGCCAAACGGCCGATTTAGCTTAGTTTTTTTTTTCTTTCAAAAACTCACTTTTTTCTAGAATTCAGAGTTTTAGGATATTTTTACAATATTGAACAATTTTTAGGTTTGGTATTATTGTTTATAAACTGCATTGACCGATATATACCCACTGTGCGTATGTCATTATGCTTTAGTTCAATCTATCTCTTTCACTCTTTTGCGCCTAAAGTAAATTGTTATATCTTTGGGTACAGGGGAAGGTGACAATAATACATATATATACATATAAACATATGTATGTACATATATACAATGATTATGCTTTATTTGCATCTGTCTCCCCCTCACTTTACCTGCTGAATAGGTACGGGTAAGTGCACAGGACGAGTGCAATGGGCAAGAGCCTAGCAGATATTTAAATATATATGTATATGCGCATATACATGTACATATTTACGTACGTATTATACATCAAATGAAAGGTATTGTTGTAGTGTGTAGTCGTCAGATAAGTGAGGAGGATACGTGGTTGTGTGATTTTAAAATTATTTATTCAATGTAAAAGATGGTGTCGCTCAAAATGGCGTTGTTGAATATTCACAGGGTAATTAACAAGTAAAAGTAAAAGTAATAGTACTTGGCGGAGGGCCAAGCACTGAGAGCAAGCGGTTATGCTATTAACAGAAAGCTGTTAATAGCATAATCGGGCTCTGTGGGGGAGGAGCAATCCTGTTAATGGGATCTGGCATTAACATACTCCCCCCCTTGCAAGGATTGAAATATATACCGGTGTAGGGTTACAGGCAGGAACCTGAAAGGACCCACCCGAAGACGGTGTTCTGGGCCATGGGACGACCGTCAGTGCTGGGGACGATTCCTGGAAGGATGACGTGAGGATACACGTCAGCCCCCAGCACAACAGACACCGTACTGGGTTGAGCCCAATTGCCGTCGGCGAGCGTAATCCCAGCCGGATTGGCTGCGTGCTCGATCGGCCGAATTGGCGTCCGGCAATTGAGCTGCGGGTCTAATTGCAGGATAGCATCAATATTGAAAGCAGATGTTTTCGAACAGATGGTCGCTGTGCAAACCTCTCCCGGACCCACGCTAGTGGCGGAAAGACCCATGGCCCTTGCCAATGAAGCATGGATCCGAGTAGTAGGGCTACACGGATCGATCAACGCCCTCACATCGAAATCCTTAACACCCGTTTGCAAAATGAGAATTGCCGTGGGCAGGATGCTAACGGCCTTGTGCTGCATCAGCGTGCTCAGCGGCGGCGTATCTCTCCTCGTGGACCTGGATACTGCCTGGTGGCGTCGTCCTTTGCGGGATCTCTTTTGTGACGTAGGTGTCCCGGCGAGGGCGGAGGAGGTGGGCCCGCTGACAGGGGCTGCAGCGGGACGACGTCGCTGTCGGCGACGAGCTCCGGGCAGATGCAGCAGAGTGTAATGGCTCTGGCCACACGTCTTGCATTTGGCCTTGCTGCGGCAGGATTGCCCGGAGTGCTGGTGTGCCAGACAATTCGCGCAGTATTTGTTGATAAGTACTGCGCGAAGACGTTTTTCGGCCGGAAGGCCCAGAAAACGCCTGCACTTCCGCAGACACACGCGGCATCGGAAGGAGTTGATGCCAGGTGTCTCCACGCATTGAACAGCTGATGGCATAGCTGAAAAGGAGAGATGTGCCGGGTGGTAAGTGATGGAATTAGATGCACATACAGGGTTAGTTGGACATCACAGGGGTATTATCGTCCGTTGGTAGGATGACCAACTTATGGACGGGTCTACGGACGATGCCCCGGGAGGTGAGAATGTCCGCCACTCGGACCTTCTCATCATCTCCTGGGTGCGTGAGGTGGACACGGCCGAGCCGCCACTCGTTGATGGCGACATTGTCGTCTTTCACGATGACCATGTCGCCGACCTTCAAGTCACGTTGTGCGAATTGCCATTTATTACGTTTGTGCAGCTCCTTAAGATACTCTTCTTTCCAACGGAAACAAAATTGTTGGTGAAGAGCCTTAAGTCGCTGCCAGCGATTCAGGATAGACATCGCATCTTGCGTAATTCTGGGCTCAGTAATGGTTATAAGAGGCCCACCGACTAGGAAGTGTCCTGGAGTAAGGGCTTGTAGGTCGGTGGAATCCTCGGACATGGGTGCTATCGGTCTCGAGTTGAGGCAGGCTTCTATTCTTGCCAAGAGGGTCGAAAGCTCCTCGAAAGTATATTTCGTCGTGGCAGTGGATTTATAGAATAGAGCCTTGAAACTCTTCACCCCTGATTCCCACAAGCCGCCCATGTGTGGTGCACTCGGTGGATTGAAATGCCAGGATAGGTTATGGAGAGTGTGCTTTGCAAGCACCTCGGATCGAAGTGATTCTACAAAGTCTCGAGACAAAGTCTTTGCGGCTCCGACAAACGTTTTCCCGTTATCGGAGTAAATCTTCTGCGGACATCCACGCCGAGCCACCAAGCGGGAGAACGCCGCTAAGAATTTTTCGGTGGTTAAGTCGGATGTGGCCTCGAGATGGATAGCCTTGGTGCTAAAACACACAAACACGCAGACGTACCCCTTTGTAATGAGGCAGGCACGTCCGGCGTAATTCTTCACATCGAAGGGGCCTGCAAAGTCGACGCCTACGACGGTGAAGGGCCTTGTGAAGGTTGTGCGATCAGCTGGCAGGTCGCCCATCATTTGCGTTTGGAGACGCTTACGATAAACTACGCAGGACTTGCATGAGTTTATTACCGATTTGATGAGGACCTTCAGCTTAGGGATCCAGAATTGTGAACGGATGAGTCTCACAATTAGTTGGTTCCCGCCATGCAAGGATATGCGATGGGTGAAACGGACTAACAGCTTTGTGAAAGAGCACGAGGAAGGGAGGATGATGGGGTGGCGTTCGTCGTAGCTTAAGGAGGCGGATGTCCTTATGCGTCCGCATGCTCTCAGGATACCTTTATTATCCAGGAAAGGATTAAGATTTCGGAGTGGACTTGAGGCCGGAAGTTGTTGCTGTGCACGTAAACAACTGATCTCTTTTGCGTAAACTCTCTTTTGGCACAAGGAGATGAACCTGGCCTGAATAAAGTGCAATTCATCAGCACTGAGCTCTTGCGACGGAGGTGGGGCGGATCTCCTGCACCTATTGATGAAACGAAACATCCAAGCGGTGACACGGAGGGCCCGATGAAGCTCTGAAAACCTGCTTGTGAACTCAGTTGAAGGAGTCAAGGTGGCAGCATGACTTTTAGCTGATTTTTGCTCCAGAACAGTTTCCAAGCTAAGAGCGGGAACGAGTGGCCAGTGAGACTGGGAAAGTCGAAGCCAGTCTGGCCCATAGAACCATAGCGGATTTGAGAGAAGCTCCTGTGCGTGAGCTCCCCTGCTAGCTATGTCCGCAGGATTATGTTCTGAGCTGACATGACGCCAGTCACCAGGATTGGTGAGCTCAGTTATCTTACTGATCCGATTTGCGACGAAGGTTGTCCAATTGCACGCAGGCTTGTTTAGCCAGGCTAAGACAATAGTCGAATCGGTCCAATAAAGGGACTGAAAACTGACTGCTGGGGATGCCGGCAGCAGTACTGAGCATAAGTCGGTCAGAAGGACAGCACCGCAAAGCTCCAAGCGGGGTATGGAAAGGGATTTGATCGGAGCGACTCTCGTTTTGGCGGAGAGCAGATTGACGAAGATCTGGTTGCCAAGTTCTACACGGAGATAGACAGCCGCTCCGTAAGCACGCTCAGATGCGTCACAAAACCCATGAAATAGGATAGTAGCTCGAGGCTGGAAGTGTACCCATCGAGGCACACGAATATCCCGAAGGCTGGAGAAGCTGAGGATAAACTCTTGCCATTGGGTGAGGAGATCACCAGGCAGAGGTTGGTCCCAATCTAAACCGCGTAGCCAGAGCGCTTGCATAAATATTTTTGCACGAATGACAAAGGGTGCCAGCCACCCTGCAGGGTCGAACAACTTGGCGATCTGTGAAAGGACCGACCTTTTTGTGTAGGACTCCTGGAGAGGAATGTCAGGGGGCGAAAAAAAGAAAAGATCGGCATGCTCTTGCCAACGTAGGCCTAGGGTCTTTGCCGTGCTGGAATCTTCAAGCTCTAAGAAGTCCTCGCACAGCCGATGACTCTTGGGATAGCCTTCAAACAATCCATGGAATTGGATGTCCACTTCCTTAAGGGAAACCCCGCACTCTACAGAGCTTCTGTGAGTTCGGCGATGGTTGCGATCACCTTTTCTTTGGAGTGTGCTGCTGCAAGTACGCCATCGACGTACATGCACTCGGAGATGACCTTGCTGGCGAGAGGCAAACGGGATCTCACGTCATTTGCGAGCTGTTTGAGAACTCTCAAAGCCAGGAAGGGAGCACAGTTTACTCCAAAAGTGACGGTGCTTAGCTCGAAGTCCCCGATGTTGCCGTCTGGCTTACGGAAAAGGATCCGTTGGAAGGGGGTGTGTTTTGGATCAACACGAATTTGGCGATACATTTTAGTGATGTCGGCATTAAACACGTATCGATAGTATCGCCATTGAAGGATTTGCATCGTGAGGTCGGACTGAAGGACCGGGCCTGGATGAAGAATATCATTCAGGCTCTTCTCATTGGAAGATGGGCACGATGCATTGAACACCACCCTCACTTTGGTGGTGGTGCTGTCGGTCTTAAAGACCGCATGGTGAGGCAAGTAAAAGTTACTCACTGCAGGATTGCAATGTGAGAACACTGGCCTCATATGACCCAAGTCGAGATACTCTTGCAGGATAGCTTCGTATTCGGCCTTGAGTGTCGGATTCTTGGACAATCTGCTATCATTCTTGAGAAACTGCCCCAGAGCGATGGATCGCGAATGACCTAAGTCAGGGTGATCCGGATTTTTGAACGACGTGGGAGCCAGACTTGTGGTTCGGACAAAATTATCCTCACACGCAGAGTCCGGCTCACTCCGGCTCCATAGGTCGCTGGCTCGTCTCCGGCTCGAGGGAACAAATGTTGTAGTGTGGAGTCGTCAGATAAGTCAGCAGGACACGTGGTTGTGTGATTTTAAAATTATTTATTCAATGTAAAAGATGGTGTCGCTCAAAATGGCGTTGTTGATTATTCACAGGGTAATTAACAAGTAAAAGTAAAAGTAATAGTACTTGGCGGAGGGCCAAGCACTGAGAGCAAGCGGTTATGCTATTAACAGAAATCTGTTCTGTGGGAAATCGGGCTCTGTGGGGGAGGAGCAATCCTGTTAATGGGATCTGGCATTAACAGGTATTAATGCGTAGATCATATACATATATATAAATATATGATCTATCTCCTTTATTTCAAGAGATATTTCAATTCAATATTTATTTTCAATTTTTATAATAAAAATCAAATCATAACTCTTATTATTGATTTTTATTATAAAGATCAAAAGTAAGAGTTATGATTTGATTTTTATATACAAATTGTTCTGTAATAATTATTTTTGATTTTTATCATAAAAATCAATTTTAATAATTATATATATTTTTTTTTTAATTTATCACAAAATAATTATTTTTTAATTTGTTCCTATAAAAATTGTAATCGTTACGGTCCCTGGAAAATACACATTGGACCCAGCGGCTGTGCTCCGACTATTGTGAAGACACAGCGAGTAACACCACAGCCACCACGATACTCCCACTAAAGGGGGATAACCTCACTGGACTGGCCTCGGCCACTAGCCTATCCCGTAGTTCAAATTTCAAATCTGTTACAATTTGCAGCTTTGATCGGCTGTTTGCAGTCGGCGACTACTGCCCAATTTGGTTGCCGAAAACCTGGGGCTGGGTGAGCACCGGCGGCACCTCTAAAGAGATAACCTACCAGATTAAAGCTCTAGTCCGCCCATCGACGCCTCCAATTGGATTTGTCTTCCAGATTAAGGCTCCCAAAGTTATGGACTTTGATCTGACCTGCGATTTGCCCACGAGGGGCGCGTCTTCCAAATTGAGGGCTTTCGACTAATCTCGAGGGATTTCGTCTCCCAAATTTAAGGACTTTGGTCAGACCCTCGTAGAAAGTCTACTACCAGGAGGGCCCGAGGGCACAGGAGCAAAGCTCTCAACTGTGTTTTCCGGATCAAGCGTCACCACAACAGTAATGATGTTGTGGTCACTTAAATCCCACTCGCTAACACTCCAGTCATACGTGGCCCAAGTAGACGCTGAATCACTGACGATTGTCACATCGATATCGCTCCTCGCCGCGATTGTCGAATGTGTACACTCTGCTGCGGGCATTAAGCACGCCGGCTCGACTGCCCTTAACCCAGTCAGCTAGCAGTTCACCTCGCTGCCTGTTCAAGTAGCCCCGAGAGCGCTCGGGTAGTTTACTGAACCACAGGGGGATACTGCGTTCGCATCAAGGCCATAGATGATAGGCGTGTGGCTGGCTAGCAGCAGCATCGCATCCATGTACAGCAGGTACGACCAATTCTGTGTTACATTGGCAGTACACGGAGGTGAGGAAAAAAATGTGCCCCGATTGTCCGCATTGCTTGCATACCTGCTCCTTCATCCTGCATGTTGCCACTTTGTGGTCAAAACTGACACACCTGTGGCAAGCATAGGTCGGCGTCATCGGATGCCAGCGGAAGGAGAACCACTCCACGTAAATTCGCCCGCTATCGTCCAGGATATCGAGCGCCTTCCTCTCCAGCTCCAATTGTACGTTGACCGGGGGTCCAACGTCGCTGTTCCATGGCTTCGAAGAAATCCTCATCGACTTCTCGAACGCTGCATTGGAGCAGTGTCCGAAGAAGTGGTTCCTGAAGAGCCCCTCCATGAACTGCTTCGCCGTTATGCTGCTGTCGTCATCCACAACGTTGATCTTTGGCCTGAGAGCTGCATTCTCCTTAACATCCAGCCCGACTTCCTTGAACGTCGGGTTCGGAAGAACCTTCCGTATCTCGCCAGAAGATGGCGTGCGATTATCGCACCGCCACGCTTGAGCTCACGCACTTCGTGCACACGTACACCAAGTGCGGGCGCGACTTCCTTTCGGATACGCTCATCAACTTGCTCTGAGCTTGCTCTTGCTCTCTGCTTCCGCAACTTTACGGGCGCGAGGTGCAGCGACCGGAACAGCGACTGCAGAGGCAGTGACGGCGGTGTAAGAGCGCCGGGGGCAGCACACATTTTGGGGCAGCGGCCTGGGGGCGACTCCTGACGATGGTTTCCAGCTTCTTCATCCTCCCAAGCATCTCCAGGATCGCTGCATTGTCCAGCACACTGAGCACGCTGAGAACAGCACCGGGCACATTGTCTGCGACAACGGCTCTCCGGAGCTCTCGTTCGATGGCCAACATTCGTTGAACCATCGAGTTGGAGCTCGCGGCACCAGCTCCAGCTGGCACCGAACTAACGGAGCGAGCATTAGCAGCAGCAGAGGCAACGGACGTCGACGGCGCCTCCAGAGGGGCAGTGATCCAGGCCAGCGAAGCGTCGCTTTCGTCCGCCCAGCGGTCGTCACGCGCGCGCTGCTTTCTCGGCGGCGAATCCGTGGGCGGCGGCATGGCTGCGGCATCGGCGGCGTTCCGAAGAACTATCTTCGGGGCACAGCCACACTTCTTCTTGGAGCTCGACCGGGTCGAACTCCCACTACTCGCCTCGGAGTCCATCCCTGGACACTAGACAGCACAAAACTTTTTTTTTTTTAATATTTTATTTAAACAGGCTTTTTACTACCTAATTGGCAGCTTAACCTAATTGGCAGCTGAACATAAAGGCACGATTATTTACAGTAGAACACTACAGAAATTTCAATAACAATTTACATAAACATCAATAAGAAGTTGGTTAATTAAATCACATTCAATTTTTCATGAAATATTATTTTGTAAGAACCTCGCAGGGAGGTCCTCTGGATAGCACTTCTTTAGTCTTCTTTTTCTGGCTTCTTTGTTAAGTCTTCTCGCCAAAGGGCTTGGGTGGCATTTGAGTTTTGCAAGCTAGCTAGCAGCTACCTTTTGCATTATGTCTCCAACTTTGGAGACCTTGAGATCTTTTTCAATTTTATGCAAACGAACAAAAGTATGCTGAGCCTTCTCAAAACAGTTGCTCTCTTCTGATTGGCTGGCCAATCAGAAGCGCGTAGCGGTGAAACGCTCACTGACACACTCGCGCTAAAAGATCGCTTATCGCGAAATGCTCGTAGCAAGCGCTCTTAACACACGCTCCGCGTATTTTATTGCCCGCAATAAAACAGAAATTTGCGACGATGATGCGCGACCGACGAAACACGTCGGTTCGCGGTGACAATCAGAAGCAAAACTGAGCAAGACGGACATTCCAATATACCAATATACTCATTTCACATTCGTGAATGCGTATAACTAGGATTGTTAATGCCTATGCCCCATCTATCAAAAAAGGCCTTATTATTGGAACCCTGATCGCAAATAATGGTTTTGACCTTAAGCACCAATGCCTATGACAGTCCAATGTTTGCCCCAACTTTAGACTTAAGATAAGAGTATTTTATTTAATTAGCTAAAACAATATAGCTTAAAACATACTTTCAATTTTCAAAAAACCTAAAAACCTACTTTTCCTCTCACCATCGTTTTCGAGTCCCTGAATCTCAAGAGATGAATGTTTTATATTTTAAAAACATTTTACATAACACTTTCGACTGTTCGGAAACATGGAATAAATTATTAATTGTCGTGAAGACAATAAGCTGGTCTCTTGATATTCCTAACTCTAAATGAAAACCGCCTGTATTTAAAAGCCCGCTTGAAAGGGATAAAACTTTTTTTTTCAACTTAATAGAATTTTCCTGCCGTTTTTTCAGATCTATTCCAATATCAAACCTTTTTTCCTATAAAATACCTCGTTTTGTTCTCTCTTTATACAATTTAAACCAAAGGAACTTCTATTAGCGGCTAAATCGTGCTACAATTCAATTTTTAAATCGTTGTCGAAGCTCAAGAAATTCTCTATTACTTCCTCCTCTGATTTATTTTCTCTTCCTCACCGCCTATTAATGATCACATTGAAAGCTGAATTATTTGAAAAGAAGTTTGGGTCACCCAAATGTATGGTTGGGACTGTGTTGGCTTTTAATTTTCGCTTACCAATATTTTTTCGTTCAAAATGATTGAAATCCGATTGAAATTACTGGGCAAATTGCATGCTTTAATCAATTTGTTGAAATTAATTTCATTTGATGGAAATTTCAGCACTTAAGTCCCCATATTAAGTCCACACTGTGTGCGTGTGTGTGTGCATGTGCTGTTTTTTGTGTAAGCTGAAAAGAAGCTAAGTATGTAAAAATGTTTGAAATATCAGTTGCTCGATGGGATCAGGCGGTCTCGTAGTCGGGCAGTCTCGACTAGAGCTTTCTTACTCGTTGTTATTGTCATTTGTGTTGTTTTTGCCTGTGGCGGCTGTTTTGCTACGCGCGACGCTGCTGTAGGAGAGCTTTCTGTTCACAGCCTGTTGCGTATTTGCAGAGCTGTTAAAAATGGTTTATAAAAAGCATTCGAATAGAAAATGGAAATGGTTTTAAAATTTTTCCCATTTGAATGGAATGCAAAAAAAGGTATTCGAAAAAAGGTATTCGAAAAAAGGTATTCAAAAAAGGTATTCGAATGTAAAATGCAAAATAGGTATTTTGAAAACGGGTTTTTTCAAATAAAATGCTTTTTTTAAGTATTGTTTTTTTGTTTTATTAGTATTTTCAAATTATAAATACAATCGTGATTTTTTTTTAAAATTGTTTATGGTTCTAGCATGATTCATTTGCTTAATTTGCATACATATTTGTAATTCAAAAGTTGGTAATTTTTTTTTGTAAAAAATAACTTAAATATTAACTTGTTTATTTTAAAACGACAATTTTTTCAAATAAATCATCTTTTATGCTGCGTCTATGTGGCCGCATTATCATTCTACCATAGAAAACAAGTCTTTCAACGGGGGCTGAACTTGGTAAACTAGTATTAAACTTAAGAAATATAGTCTTTATGATAGGAAATTGATTTAAAGATTCCAAACTATTGTCTTCATCTTTTAAGTAAGTTAACGTTTCAAGGTCAATAGTAGTATTACCATTATTACTGGTTAGGGAAGAATCTGAATCTTCATCGAACATATAATATGATTGAGTGTTTTATTTTTATTTTCTAAATCTTGCTTAAATTTTCTTAATTCAGCTACAAAAATATTCCTAACGATATTCTTGTAATCTTTTGGGACCCACTTTAACTTAAAAAATGGATGAGATACACTTGCGATTACAGCATCTTTAGTTTTGGGCTCATTTAACTTAAAAATTTTTACAAATCTCTTTTTAAGACTTTTCTGCATTAACTCAATTAGATCAAAACAATATTTAGGGACATCCATTTTTAAATTATTAAAAATTCGTAGCATTCTAAACAGTTCTGGAATAAGACAGCCGTAATACATGTGTTCAAACATGAACATACATAATAATAAAAATAGAGACAGTACTCGAATAACCTGCGCGTTATCCGACACAAAGTAATAAATATGTCATCCCTTAGTTGCAGCGACCAATGCAGCGTCTAATATATGTAAATGTAACGTGAGCCTGGGCCCAAAGATTAAAAAAAAGGGACACTTAAGTAAACATCTGGGCACTTGTTTGTGTGAGAAAATGCACCCTTCCAGTGACTGGAAGTAGTTTTAAGAGTCTCTGTTAGGTATATAAGAACTAGGATTTTAAGCAATAAAGAGTTCAGTTAAGATCTTGAATTCGGCAAATGTGGAGTGTTTTTCATTTTAACGCTCTAACATTTTGGTCCTTCGGCGTTCTCTGTGTTTTCCCCCACCCGTGGTAAGAGACACAGAGAAAGGAACCAGCGTCTTAATGCTGATAGTTTTAAAACTCAGCTTAAGACAAAATATAGTATATTACTCTGTTTTCCCCCGCCAGTGGTAAGAGACAGAGTATATACATATATAAACTAAAAGTGGTGCTCAAATTTAAAAAAAGAAAAATTTGTAGTGCTGGTGGGTCTGCATTCCCAAAAAGGGACTAGACCAAATAAAAAAAAAAATTTTCAGAATACAACAAAAATTGATTCAAGGGGTAGATATGTTGTAACAATTCCGTTCAAAGAAGAAAATGAATTAGGAGAATCAAAGCCACAAGCTATAGCTCGATTTCTTAGCTTAGAGAAAAAGCTGCAAAAAAATGAAAAATTAAGAACAGACTACACAAATTTCATGAACGAATACTTGCAGTTAGGACATATGATATCTACAAATAAAGAAGGAAAATATTATTTACCACATCAGGCAGTGTTAAGAGATAGTAGTCTGACAACGAAGCTAAGGGTAGTTTTTGACGCATCTGCAAAAACAACAAATAAGAAAAGTCTAAATGACATTATGTGGACGGGACCAAGAGTTCAAAAAGATATATTTGACATTATATTAAAATGGCGACGCTGGGAATATGTAGTATCAGCAGATATAGAAAAAATGTATAGGCAAATAAAAATAGCAAAACATGACCAAGAATTTCAATATATTGTCTGGAGAGATTCTCCAAGTAAAAAACTAAAGAACTTTAAGCTTACCACAGTCACTTATGGTACTGCATCAGCTCCTTACTTAGCCACTAGAGTTCTTTTAGACATAGCCAATAATTGCAATAACGCAACAATTAAAGAAATAATTAAAACAGATTTTTATATGGACGATCTTATGACAGGCGCTGAGTCCATACAAAACTGTAAAGAAATTGTTGAATGTGTTTCCAGTGAACTAGCAAAAGTAGGATTTAATCTGAGAAAGTGGATTTCAAATAAATCAGAAATAATTGAAGAAATAGACAGAAATGAAGAAAATAAGGTGTTAAGCATTGAAGAGAATGAGTCAATAAAAACATTAGGTCTACAGTGGGAACCCCTCAAAGATGAATTCAAATTTAGTTTCACTGACAACAATATTAAAACAATAAATAAAAAGAACAGTCTTATCAACACTTGCTAAAATATATGATCCCTTAGGGTGGTTAGCTCCAGTGACCATAATAGGG